TGCTGTTATGCTATGTAGATGCCAGGCCTGATAATTACTGTTCTGTCTTTGAAAGCTGTCTTGACCTAAAATCAGGTTATAAGTAAATGGAGAAAGAGTGATACAATTCTTAATGGTGTTGTTTTCATGGAATTTGGGTGAAAAGTGGGTAATTTGGCTATTTAAGAACAGTTTAAGTTTGGTTTCTATGGTGATTGCATTCACTTAAAGTGCATTGATGTTTTTAAAGTTACCAGAAAATTGGTGTTCATCATGTGAAAGTCGTAAATTTTGCAGTTTGAGTGCTTTTTACCAAATGGTGTTTTTTCACCATGCACATTTAGTGTTGCAGCCAGAGCTTGAAAATTCGATATGCAGAAAGGCCATTAAGAATATCAAGTACCGACAAATTAAAATTAGCCTTTTTATTTTCATTTGATTAACATTTTTTAATTTGATAAAAAATTGTTCCCTGAAAATTTCTGCCATCAAATTTAATTTGAAATAGTACTCACAAAGTATTGATATGATGCAAAATAATGACATGTATAATAGATGTGATGATGCAAAATAATGGCATGTATATGTGATGATGCAAAATAATGGCATGTAGATGTGATGATGCAAAATAATGACATGTATAGATGTGATGATGCAAAATAATGACATGTAGATGTGATGATGCAAAATAATGACATGTAGATGTGATGATGCAAAATAATGACATGTATAGATGTGATGATGCAAAATAATGACATGTAGATGTGATGATGCAAAATAATGACATGTATAGATGTGATGATGCAAAATAATGACATGTGGATGTGATGATGCAAAATAATGACATGTATAGATGTGATGATGCAAAATAATGACATGTATAGATGTGATGATGCAAAATAATAACATGTGTAGATGTGATGATGCAAAATAATGACATGTATAGATGTGATGATGCAAAATAATAACATGTGTAGATGTGATGATGCAAAATAATGACATGTGTAGATGTGATGATGCAAAACAATGACATGTAGATGTGATGATGCAAAATAATGACATGTATAGATGTGATGATGCAAAATAATGACATGTAGATGTGATGATGCAAAATAATGGCATGTAGATGTGATGATGCAAAATAATGATGTATATGTGATGATGCAAAATAATGACATGTAGATGTGATGATACAAAATAATGACATGTGGATGTGATGATGCAAAACAATGACATGTAGATGTGATGATGCAAAATAATGGCATGTAGATGTGATGATGCAAAATAATGACATGTAGATGTGATGATGCAAAATAATGACATGTATAGATGTAATGATGCAAAATAATGACATGTAGATGTGATGATACAAAATAATGACATGTGGATGTGATGATGCAAAACAATGACATGTAGATGTGATGATGCAAAATAATGGCATGTAGATGTGATGATGCAAAATAATGACATGTAGATGTGATGATGCAAAATAATGACATGTATAGATGTGATGATGCAAAATAATGACATGTGGATGTGATGATGCAAAATAATGACATGTATAGATGTGATGATGCAAAATAATGACATGTATAGATGTGATGATGCAAAATAATAACATGTGTAGATGTGATGATGCAAAATAACGACATGTATAGATGTGATGATGCAAAATAATGACATGTATAGATGTGATGATGCAAAATAATGACATGTGTAGATGTGAGGATGCAAAATAATGACATGTATAGATGTGATGATGCAAAATAATGACATGTGTAGATGTGAGGATGCAAAATAATGACATGTATAGATGTGATGATGCAAAATAATGACATGTAGATGTGATGATGCAAAATAATGACATGTGTAGATGTGAGGATGCAAAATAATGACATGTATAGATGTGATGATGCAAAATAATGACATGTGTGATACCAAATATGGGTGAAATTATTTTGCCATGATACATGTTCTTAGTACAAACATATGTGGAAAAAAGCTCTACTGTGACAACTTGCTCCATCAACCTTGTGCTCTCAATATTTTACTGAAAAGTCCATGGTGATACAATGTAAAAAAACAGACTTTAGTAAAACCAAATGTTTATTTTCAAAATTTGTCATTGTATTAGAGTTGACTTGATAACATTGTATACTCAGTCAGTACATGTCATCACGTTTAATCATCATACATATATA